AGAACCCCAATCCCTGATCCCAAAACCAACAACCGCAAGCCTTATAAACCTTAAACCCACTACCTCAAACCTTGAACCCAACACCCTTAACCCCAAAACAACAACCCACCAAACCTTAAACCGGAACTGCAAACCCCAAACCCCAAAGCCCAAAATCTCAACTCTTAATCCGCAAAGCCTGCAATCCTAAACCCTAAGCCTAGTCTACCCATCGGCCCTAAGTAGTTCCTTTTTATGGTTTATATTTAGAATCCTATAAGGTAATCCCAGAAAGGAACTACTTAGGGGCCTATGGGTAGACCTAACAAGCATGCCGAATTCCAAGCATGCGGTGGCCTAGCCCAGAATCTCAACTCTTAATCCGCAACCCCACAATCCTAGGGCGGAATCCTGGGACATGATCTTCCCCTGTGCGAACTTGACCACCGTGACGGTAATCATCAAGGAGATGGGCACCATACCTTGAAGCGAGAACGAGGTAGGAGTTTTACCTATAGGTTTACGGGCACAATGCGACAGTGCGAATAGGAGATAGGAGATTGGGTACTGGTAACTCTACTCTCTGGTTCTTAGTAGGGAATGGGGGAATGGATCCCTATGATAGTCCCTTAAGGTCCACTATAGTAGTCCCAATAACCCATTCCCCCATTCCCTACTCAGAACCAGAGAGTTGAAGCGAGAACTGGAAACACAGCTAAACCCTAAACCCTAAACCCTAAACCCTAAACCCAAAAACGGTTTAGGGTTTAGGGTTTTGGGTTTAGGGTTTAGGGTCGAGGTATAGGGTAAACAAGCCAGTCGAAGGGGTTCGGAATTTAGGGCCTTTTGGTTCAAGGAAACTACAGGTGAGGCGTTTAGGGTGAAACGGGCTTCCATAAGGCTTCGGAATCAGGTATACTATATAGACCCTCTACAAGGCTCCTATAACGGTAACTACCCACCAGAAAATGTCCTAGATTTGATGGCTTTCGATTTGGATAACGCTTGAATACCCTAAGGCTCTAAGGACCCATCTTTTAAGGCTTTTGGGCCCAAAGGCCATACTCTATAAGGCTTTTGGGCTAATTTGAGCCTTAGGGATAACATCTCTGACTACTGTAACTCCGAGCCAGGGGGCTGTTCAGCATGAGGAACCAAATCCCAACTTGCCTCGACGGGCCACAGCATCTGATCTTTTTTGCAAAAGCTGTCAAGTCGGTTTGTGAAAGGTCACCAGGCAGAAGCCCTTAACCCTTAACCATAAACCTTAAACCCCAGACCAAAAAATCTCTTTCCAAAGCTCGCAAGTCTCCTGAAGAAGCAACCTGATTTCCCGACCACGTACTGTATCCCTTGTCTTGCGAACTCACAGCTGAGCGTCTGTCGCGATCCGCCCGGCCCCGAACAAGAGATAAAAGGGTCCAGTAGGGGTACATTATACTTTAACTATACTAAAGAGCCCCAAAAAAGTATAGGTAATTATTAAGGCCGCTTATAGTAGACTTAAACTCTCGGGAAGGCTCCCGCAGTTTGCCTGGGAAATCGTCGGGAATCTTGACAGTTTAGGGTTTAGGGTGTAGGGTTTAGGCTTAGGGTTTAAGGTGTAGGGTTTGGGGCTGTAGGGGTGTAAGGTTTAGGGGTTTAGGTTTTAGGATTACAAAGTTTTGGGCCCGTGTTTGCTCTATAACGGCTGCCAAGCATCACCTCCTACGGCTCTAACCAATCCCCGCCTCAATGGATTCAGATACTGAGGGAGGCCCTCCAGATACCACACCTGCCATGGAGGCTCGCGCAAGCAAGTCCAAAGGGTGAATTCGGGTGCTGCACGCGCTGATTCTTACTTTTTTCTTTCTGCGAGTGGATTAGCATCCAAGCACAACCCAGCATATGCAGTCACTAGCTATGCCGCCCCTAGATTATGCTGCCTGGCGGTCCCGCCTTGTGCCCGTGGAGACTTTGCCACAGGAAGCTAGACAGGGAAATGAACAAGCAGATGGACATCTGGATCGCGAAAATCATGGCAACCACCTCGGCTGCGCGAGCATGGAGCACGTAGGGTCGAGCCTAGATGTCGCAACCCAACTTGTCTCGAAGTATCCACGCCTGAAATAACCTCAAAACTCTACCTCTCTCCCTCAAATCTGCAATCGTCAGGGCTTGAGCCATCCTAAGCCCTAAACCCTAAACCCTACACCGTCCTGCTAGGGCTGCAGCATCGAGTCATGCTCCTCTTCCCAGCGACCTCAAGTCCTCACTGCCCCCTTCTAAGCTTAGGGTTTAGGGTTTAGCGTTTAGGTGTCTTCATTGTGCATACGTTTGATGAATAAATCCTACATTACCCATAATCAGGAATATACCATGATCACCAAAGTTTAGGGTCCTTAATAAGGTAATGCAGGATGTATATCATCAACAGTATGACTTGCACAATCGTCAGAATGAGCAGCTCGATTTCCAACCTTGTCAGAAGAACAAGAAAGCCCAACATAATGCAAACCCCGAACAGTAAGGTCCTTATCATCATAAACCCTTAGACAACTCATGTCAAGAACTCGCGAACGAAACCCAAATAAGCTGCACAAAGAGTCTGGAGCCCTATCTATAAAATTCAGATTTTCAGCAGCCCCTTGTTTTTAACAGTCCACTAACCTCATGATCATAGTAGGTCCTGCGGACCCGAAAAAGCCTAAACCCTAGAAAGGATCCACAAGATAGCGCCTCCAATGAATCGGTATCTCACCATCACGGTGTTTTAGATAGCGCCCCTTGTTTAAAGTATGCATCTGGTGGATTACTTCAAGGCTCTGGGCATACTTGATCCTCCAACTCTGATCAAGAGGTATGGGTTGCGTGGTCTTTACGAAAGGGCTTTGTAGGTTCTGCGATAGTCTATAGTACAGCAGCGAACCTTCAGGGATACTGGTGCTGATCTAAACATCTTACTTCGGGCCGTAAACAACTTGTAACTAATGAGTATCTCAATTACTCATCACAGAAGATACTAACTTGCTTATGCCCTTACATACTTAATCCCTTGAGCCTTTGAGAACATTCTGCCGTCACTTTTGTAGGGAACCCCCGGGATGAAAACCCTGCAAAACAGCGCTCAGAAGGTCCATTAATGTAAGACTTTTAAGAAGCGCCAAAAAAATGAAACACCCACAGATTCGAGTACTCCCTCGGAGATTTGCCCTGTTTTGCTATAACAAGAACAGAATAACACTCTAAACCCTAAACCCTACACGCAGAGATTCCTAATCCAACGCAAGCTCACACCCCACCAAGGTGCTCCATTGAGACGCACGTCCAGGGCCGAGGGCCTCAATTTTTCGCGCTTTTTTGGGCTTGGTGTGGGGCTTTGGGCTTTTAGGGTTTAGGAATTAGGGTTTAAGAGTTGGGGGTTTTGGGCTTTTAGGGTTTTGGGCTTTTAGGGTTTTGGGTTAAAGGGTTTTAGGGGTTTAGGACATGCCAAGGGCCTCCAAAGCGCGAAAGCTTGAGCCCCGACATGCCTTTCAACAGGAGGATTAAGGCGGAGCGGCTACCCCAAACCCTAAACCCCAAACCCTAAACTTCCCTAAACCGTATGCAGACCCAGTGTTTCTGCCACGGAAACCATCGCAAAGTAAAGTTGAAGCCCGGCTCCGAAGGTTTCAATCGTAGGCCGCAAGCACTCCAACCCCTAAACCCCAAATCTCTGAACACTGACCCCTGAACTCGCAACACAAACCCTCAGCCCGCAACACCTGAAACCTGTATGCACAAACCTGGATTTTGGCTTCTATGGCCTCGAAAACAAGAAACTATTACATTACTCGGTATGAAAGCGTACCTACCATACATAGGACCACAAGGGAAATTAACAAGTCTCGCAATGCGCCACCTGGAAACCCTACGCCTAAGATGCATGAACTACTCTCAAAATGTGGAAGTGGCATCGGCCTGAGGGAATCGTGACAGAATGAAGGAGTGGGGCAGTGCACAGGCAGCACTGCGAATCTGCCCACTAGCAAACAACAGATAGTTCAAAAGCAGTAAGTGAATAAAGGGAGGGAGTGCCATAAATAAATCTACATACATACATACATACATATACATACATACATACATACATACATACATACATACTTACATACGTACATACATACATCTGCCGCAAGACCCTCAACCCGAACTGTGAAGCCCTGAAGCCTATACCGCATAATAGCGGGTATTAGCCCTATATTTGTTAGCCAATGACAGTATTACAACAAAGCATCATAAGCCCTATACCATTATACCGCATAGTGGCCCTATATAATTATAACCCTTAACCCGAAGCCTCGGCAGACCCCAAAGCACGCAACCCCGTAAGCCCTAAACCCTGTAATTGCAGGGAGAGAGGCTTGAACCGAGCGGAGCGCGAGTTCTTCAGCGTCCGAGTGTCGTGTCCCGCGTAGACGACCATTCCCAATACCCAGTCCTTGGAGGATTATTGTAGGGCCTGTTGAGGGTAAGCCTCAGAGTTTTATATAGGGTCCTTGAGGGAAGATTGTTGGGCATATGAGGGGATTAGCATTTATGGTCTCCTGCACAGCGGCACCAATTTCTGTGTGGGATGTCGCCCCAGCTTCGGGGACCACGGATCCACCATCAAGCCATGTCAGGCCCATCGTGGAACACCCCGCGCGCAACCATGTTGTGTCTAGTTTCACGTTTCCCACCGATCCGAGTAATAGAAAACTTCAACAAGCAAAGACCGCAAAACTCCACAACCTGCATCTGAGTGAATTCGAGCACAACTTAGATCCACTCAAACCTCGGATCAATGGCTGGACAACTTCATGCAAGGCGAGTTGAGAGCTCAATGAGCGGATGCTGTCATGAGTTCGCACGCCTGAAGCACGAAGTTGCCACGGAGAGATCCTCGTGTCAAGACATGCCCACACCCTGGAATGATGCCAAAGAATCCCTGTGAGTAATTACCACATGCTTGGGTACCTGTCACTTACCTCCCGGTACATTAAATTGCTTTGACGAAACGCGGTCTGCTGAAGGGAAGTCCCTCGCAGAAGCAGCGTGCTGACGCCGAGTCCGCGAACCTCCGCGGTGATGTTGAAGTAGGTCGGTAATTTATAGTTGATAGCATCCGAACTATCTCCATGCGATGCCGGCCGCAACACAATAAGGACTCCCCCACGAGTTCTCAAGGGAGCCTGAGATACCCACGATAGCTCAATACAGTACGTACCCTATATATTTCACATCGTTTTAGCATTTTGGCGAGCATCTTCGCAAGTCAAGACGGGGCTTGAGTAACAAATTGTCCCAAACCCACGCGCCTCGCCATTGGTGAGCTCCAAAGAGCCTTGGGGTTACGGCTTAGGGTTTCGGGCTTAGGGCTTATGGGCCTAAACCCTAAACCCTAAACCCCTAAACCCCTGAACCCTAAACCCTACTTCAAGCTTTCAGGCCCCGGGGCTTGGGTTGGGGTTTACGGCTTAAGCTTCCCGGAAAAAAAAGCCGTAATTACACCAAGCCAAGGAGTCCGAAAAGAGTTCAACTCCTGTTGGGTGCAAGCCGTTCTCCCTGTGAAAACCCATGCATCTTGCAGCCCAAATTGGGTAGTTCTCTAAATGAGGATAGTAGGGCACCCTTCTACAAAGGACCCCAAACGCGACCCTAATTTAGAAAACTACCCATATGATATATTTATTCAGGCTTCTACATTACATCCTTAAGTCCCGCAGAATCTTATTGTTCTCCTCAACCTCCTGTACACCAGGGTGCTGCGGAAGGCGTAGAGGTCCCCGGATGGAGGCTCACAGCGAAGGCAGGGCGCGGCACCCACCCCTTGAGGAGGAGCTTGCTAGGGGGCATTTCGCGTGCAAAACAACCTAAAAACCGACCCTTCTTGTCGGGTCTCGGGCAGGAAGATTTGGGGGGTCAAGGTTTCAAAATGTCATCGGAAAAGGACCCCTTGAGAAGGAGTGGAGTCGGGTTTGGAGGTTTGGCAGGTTCATCCGGAGGGGTTTGCAACAAAGGATCCCGAAGAAAGTGTCTCTTCAGTCTTCTATATTAGTACGAGACTTGAATCTTGGGTGTTGGGAGGTTCCGTGGTTGGGAGCTCTCGGTGTGAGTGCCTTCAGGGTTTTGGGATGCAGTCGCACCTCAATTTCCCGTAGCGACGATAGTAGGGTTGCTTTTGGGGAGGATCTCCTTATAAGGAAGTGCCTTCGCATTGTGAAGGAGATGAAGAACCACCTTATGTCATGTACTGTTTTCTGATATGGGGGGTTTCCGAAAATGGCGGACCCTAAAATTATAGTACCCCAAATAGCAGGATCCTTATTATAAGGACCCCAGAATAAGGTAGCCCTTATTTCCGGAAACTCCCATATGAGGTCTTGGGGCCTTGAGAGTCAGGGTTGGGGTGTTGCGAAAATGCGAGGACGGGATGGCAGACTTCGGATGCTGACGCCGAAATACTTCGAGGGGAAAGTTGGAGCTTCAGATTTGGAAGGGATAGGTAAGCTAGTAGGAAAGCAAGACAGAAAGAAAGACACGACGACAGAAAGAATTACTATTGCACTATTCATGCATGCTATAGTCTACGACGTAACTTACTATCCCCTAAACCCTAAGCCCTAAACCCTATTAAAAAAAACCCTAAAACCCTAAACCCCTAAAACCCTAAACCGCAAACCCTAAACCGTAAACCTTATTCCAGCTCAAAAGGGAGAATTTATACAGCAATCCAATCTTCAAGCCGCTGCTAGGCCCCCAGGTGCTTTGAGCCCTACCCTCGTCCTGGTAGTTTGGGTTTAGGGCTTGGGGTTTAGGGTTTAGGGCTTAGGTTTAGGGTTTATAGGGTTTAGGTTTAGGTTTATAGGATTTATAGGTTTAGGGTTTATAGGGTTTAGGGTTTAGGGTGTAGGGTTTAGGGCTTAGGGTTTGCAGGGTTTATAGGGCTTATAGGGTTTATAGGGTTTAGGGTTTACGGTCCTGGTAGACTTACTGAATCTAAGGGAACCTCCGTCCAACAGAAAAGCACCACCTCCCATCACCACAACTTCGGCGATAACAACATCCGGAAACTCTGAACGGTATGAGCTAGTCTAGAGAACCCTATGCCCAAGCCATATCATATACGCGGAGCACATGGTGCAGCAGCATGACCCAACTAAAGCCGCTAAAAGTTTCAAGCCCCACCAGCGAAGAAACACAACACGTTGGGATTAGGGATGCAGTGAACAGGCTCCGAGAACTAACAAGGGCCCTCTACGTCGTACCCGCCCTGTTAGCCCACAGCCGGCAGGTGACCCACGAAGCGGACGTTCTGCGCTGCAGATTCCAGTTCGGCAGGCGTCAGCGCCGCAGTTTTCTTCTTCAGATTCCTGTCTTCAAGGCTAGTCTCACGGGGGTCCTGAATAAAAAGGGTTCGGCTGCATGGCCGTTCAATGCTTCAGGTGTCAGGTGGAGGGTGTCCGTGGATGTAATGGGATATTGGCAGCCAGATCCTGTAAAAAGTTTGAAAGACTCACCACGAAAATTTCACTAAAACTTGATAAAGCCCCCGTATAAGGCCCTTATGACACTCCTCAGCCCGGAGGGCCATCTGTACTGCTATTACGGAATTAAGTCCCCCAAAACTATAATAGGGATGGTGTTTTGGGACCTGATTCCGTAATGGTAAAGAATATGCAGCTATACGACTATATGTATGTATGTATGTATCTACGTACGTACGTACGTACGTATGTATGTATGTGTGTATATATATATACATATATATATATATGTGTGGACCTCTGGGAAGCCATTGAATGTGTCCCTTGGACCCTCAGCGGCTTCAAGCCACAGTGACCAGGCCCCGTTTCCAGCTTCTTGGCTTGGATCATCCCCCTAGCTCTCACATAGACTGGGGGTAAGTTTCAGGGGTTTGGGGGGCAGGGTTTGGGGTTAAGGGTCAGGGGGTTTAGGGTCTAGGTTCCGGGATTTAGCACTTACATTGGGTTTAGGGCTTGGCCAAGAGTACTATACGGGCCTCATGTAGAGGATGGTGCGGTATTCGAAGCCATGGTCCCTGTTCATCGGGCGCTACAATCGTGAGTGTTTATGCCCTAATCCGGGCCGAAGGCTTTTGGAATGCAGAAGAGCTGGAAGTCCTAAAACCCTAAACCCTAAACCGAGGGTTTCGGGGGGCTACTGCGAACTGTTCGGACCCCTTCGTCGCACCGAAGGCCAGGATTCGAAGAGGGGCTTCAGTCGAGCTGACCCCTAGCACATCGCCTAACCCTTAAAGCAGTGCCCCCCTGAACCCTAAGCCGACCCTAAGCCCACAAACCCTACACACTTATGAGCCCTGATGAGTACAGGAACCCTTGCAGGAACCCCATGAAACTATGTTATAATTGAAGCCAGGCGCGTCTCACCATCGAGATTGGCAGTCTCGACACAACAGTGGCCGTCAGCATGGGAGGAGGTGAGAAGAAGACAGTCTGCGGGAATCCTCTCCTGCGGTTTAGGGTTTAGGGCGGGGAATCCTCTCCTGCTTCTGCATTCAAACGGGCTTTGAACTTAGGTTTTGGTTGAGTTTTGCCACAGTGTGTCGAAGTCCACCTGGAACATAGTCCTGTTTTTTCGGTGCTTTAGATTGTGGCTTTTTTGCACTCGATTTTGAGTTCGCGAGTTTCTTTTAAGCTGCTTCGCCACATTTGATAGGATTCTGCTCCGGGCCCGGCCTCCCCAATCCCAAACTCAATCCGGGTTGGCTTTAGAGCTGAAGGGTTTGGGCCTGGGTTTAGAGATCCCTAAACCCTAAACCAACCATAAACCTAAACCTTGAACCCCGAACCCTAAACCCTAAACCCTGAACCCTAAACCCAAAGCCCTGAACCCTAAACCCTAAACCTTGGTTTATAGAGATCCCTGAGCCAAGACTTTTTAGGCCTGTGAGTTTGGGTTGAAATAAAGGTTCTGGGTTTAGGAGTTCGTGGGTTTGCATCTCTTCCTACTGCTTCACAACCACCCCGAAACCCTAAGCCCTAAACCCTAAACCCTAAACCCTAAGCCCTAAACCCTAAACCCTAAGCCCTAAACCCTAAACCCTAAGCCGTCCTCGTTGCGGATTTTCAACACCATCCCCGGTCGTATCTGGCCCCACTCGATCGAGCTCCTTTGGGTGATGTCGGTGTGGGGTCTAGGCTTATATGGGGTTTAGGGTTTAGGGGTAGGGGGAAAAGGGTTTAGGGCTTAGGATTTAAGGTTTAGGGTTTAGGCTTATAGATGGTTGAATCGGGAGTAACAACACGAACTAGTTGTGAAGGCCCCTTGCTTGGCCCTACAGCACCTGGTTCCCTCACATGTCCAGCTCCATAAGGGCTCCTATGGGGAGTCTTTTAAGGGCTCCTATGGGGAGCGCATCGCATGCGGTTGTTAAAGGTGTTCCGGGAGCAAGCTCACGACTTCGACGTGACCTGCGCGACTTGCAGCCATCAAAGCTGTTCGGCCGTCGTTGTCTGCCAAATCCTTGTCATGTCTGCCACATCCTTGTCGGCACCGGCGTCCAGCAGCAACCGCACGACTGCATCATGACCTCCTGGAGCAGCGGATGCCGCCATCAAAGCCGTGGTCCCGTCGTTGTCTGCCAAATCAACGTCAACACCGACCTGCAGCAGCACCTTCACGGCTCCAGCATGACCTGCCAAAGACGCTACAATCAACGCTGTGTTGCCGTCGTTGTTTGTCACATTCTTGTCGGCACCGGCGTCCAGCACCACCCTCACAACTTCCTCATGACCATCGGCAAATGCCAAAATCAAAGCCGCGTTGCCGTCATTGTCTGCCACATCCTTGTCGGCGTCGGCGTCCAGCAGCAAGCTCGCGACTTCGACATGACCGGTCTCAGATGCCCTCGTCAAGGCTGCGGCGTCGTCGCTGTGTCATCTCAGGTTTGGATCTTGGGGCAGCTGCAGCCTGGACTCAACCTCGGCCATGGAGACATCGACAGCAGCCTGTGATAGGTCGCACACCTACTCTTCCGAAGCATCGGCGTATGGCATTAGAACGAGATCCAGGTCCATCCGTGAGTCCAGTCTGACAGCATCTTGCAAGGTTTCGCCATTGAGCAGGAGCTTTTGCCTAAATCTCAAATGGGAAAGCCACACAGCTGATTCAGGTGCGTCTTCAAGCCTCTCACTTCGTGTATCTCGTCGAGCGGTACGCTCATTTATCCACCGGAAATCACTCGGATTTGCAGCATGTTGCCGCCGCCGATCTCGGAACGTAGGAGTCTCACAGAATCTCAATGTGGAGCCCTAAATAGCAGTTTCTTGAAGAGAGCGACGAAGGAAGCACCGGGCCCCAGTCGCCCGCACTAAAAGGGCTCTGCAACATCTGGAGCCCTGGGCGATCGCCCTAATCCCTAAATCTAAACCCCATTGTGGACTGGGCAGCACAACAGCTCCAAAACTGCTCTCTAGTCAGCCAATGTAGAAGCTAGAGAAGTCGTAATGCTTTTCTCTGAGCTCCTTTTCGTAAGCATCGCGCACTCGAGCCCACGGTTTAGGGTCTAGGAGTTTAGGGTTCAGGGATTAGGGTTGAGGGTTTAGGGATTCAGGTTTTAGGGTTTAGGGATTAGGGTTTAGGGTTTGATTCTGCAGGCCAGCATAGTAATAATCGTACTCAGTTCCTGCTAGACCTGCAATAAGACATCTAAGCTCCAAATACAGAGCCGACATGGCAGGATTCTTTCTAGGAGGGTCTTCAAAGACGGTGCCCACAATTTTCTGACTGAACTTCCCCAAGTGGCTCAGCCATGTTGGCATCCACTGCCGTGGCGGGGTTGCTGTTCTCCTTCGAGGCTGCTCTGGAGGGGTTTTACGGCTTTGCGGCTGAGGCCCCTTTCGGTTTCAGGGCTGCTATTATATACGGTTTATAGGGTTTAGGGCTTCAGGGTTTCAGGGTTTAGGGTTTTAGGGTTCAGGGTTTTAGGGTTTAGGGTTTGGGGTGGCAGGTTTTTAGGGTTTAGGGCTTCAGCACTTCGAGGCTTGAGCCGAACACCGTTAGGCTTTCCGGGTTGAGTCTTGGTTCAATGGCTCTGAGTCTCCAGATTTTCTCGATGGCTCCGGTGAAGTCGGGGGTTTTAAGGTTCGAGGACTCGCTCAACCCTGGAACCTAAACCTTAAACCCAAAACGGTTTAGGGTTTAGGCTTTAGGGCTTAGGGTCCAGAGTTTGAGGTTGAGGGTTTAGGGACCAAAAAGCACCCAAACCCTGTAACACCAAAATCCCAGAAGCCCTACCCCCGTGAAACCCTAAACCCTGTAACCCCAAACCCCGAAACGGCCTTAAGCCCCTACACCCCAAAAGCCCGAAACCCTACAGTAGAAGCCCAAAAGTTGAAAACCCAATAGCCTCATTCCTTAAGAGTGATGTACACGGAATCCCAGTACCAATTGTCCTTTAATCCGGTTTCGAACTTCTTGGGGTTTACTACAAACCCCCAAAACCCCCAAAACCCCCCCAAACCCCTAAACCCCCAAA